GGTAATTGTACTGTCAAACCCCAGCTGAAACTTCATTGGCAGAATGGAAATACACTTGGTGTTTTACTGTTTCTTTAATGAAAACAGTGGATGATGGAAAGACATTCAGAGAACTCAACGAAGACCAGGAGCATCTTAGGAGGAAGATGATCTTAGGTGAGCCATGCTCACCTTACAGAACGGTGGTTTGACTTGACTGGACAACAACAGAGGTTCCAGGAACCTTAGCGTGTTTCCTCCTGCAGGGAGCTGGTTGAGGAAGGCAGCCTTCCAATTATGAAACACTTTTCCAAGGAACTACTTGACAAAATGCTATGTTTTTGCCACTTAAATAGGCAAAGTGAAAAAATTCTTCCAATACTTGGACTGAGGGGAGAACCACAGAAATCACCAGGTTCTACTCTTTGTTTTGGTTCTTTTCCAAAGTCAGAGATCATGCTCTTCTCCAGGCGGACCTTCTCACATTCAAAGAGCATGTGATGCACGTTTCAGAAACAAATGCAAAGACCCATCAAAAAGTTATTCTCCTGGTACTTTTGTCATCTACTCAAAACAGCGCTAAGTCACATTCTGTGCTTATCCATTCTGCTTTCCAGCTCTTGGCCCACAGTGGGATTAATTTAAATGTTAAAGCAGTCCAAGACCCTTGTGACCTTAAACACCTGTGCAGACACAAAGGTGTTTGCCCCAAGCAATAGCCAAGCTCTGTGAGCATAAGCAGGGCACTACTGCAATGGGAGGAAGCCTCTGACCTTTGCTGTAGGACCTCCTGAGGGTGGTTATGGTGGGCCATAATGAACTCAGCCCCAACTCCTACCTCCTTTGAGGATAGTCCAAGGGGAAGGCTCATCTTTAATTTTAACCTTTAATTATACTTCAAATATGCATTATTTCTGGACAAAGATCACTCAGAATTTTGCAAACATAGCATTCTCTTGCCAATATTTATTTTATCACCTGGGAAGCACTACTTGGGTCTTGATGTAATGTGCTTAATAGTGACAGTTTATTCATTTCATCTTTTCCCCCAAGAAAAAAGATAAAAAGCATAAAATGTATAGTGAAAATCAAGGGGTCTTGAGGCTAACACAGGGGAATTTAGTCAAAGGTCTCATGGATTTGTCTCATTTTCCAGAGGATGGAACTGAGGCCGTGGGATGGTGTGATTTACCTGATCCCACAGCTAGTTAGTGACCAGGGCCAGTCTAGCACAGAGACTGGAATTTCCATTCAACAAATGCTGTGCCAAGAGTTATGGACAAACTCCAAGGCTAGGACATATTTGGCATGTCCCATCCCCCAACACCATCATAACTTCAGTTCTCACTCACCGAGAGGAATCATTTGCATCAGTTAATGTATTACCCAGCCTAAAGAAGTGAGCTCCAGACTAGTAAGTGGTCATATAAAATTAACCCAATGCAAGCCCCAGCCTGCTTGCCCTTTGTCTCAGCTGGTGACCAGAATGGAAAGGACAGCATGGGAAGAAGTTTAATTCTCTGTTTCCTTTTTATTTCGAGAGCCATGGGACTGTTCACTTCTTTCTTCAGGGAAGTGTTTGCTGTTTGCTTTTTTCTTTTTCTTTCTTTCTTTTTTTTTTTTCCTGGCTTTTAAATAGTTTCTTCTAAGGACAACAGCCACCAGTTATCAGGTGCATACCGAGCTTGCTTTCTACACGTATTATCTCATTTCATGCTCACAGCAGCCCTACGAGGTAAGAGTATTATTACTCCCATTTTATAAATGACATGAGGCTCAGGAGAGCTGTGTAACTTCTCCAGAGTTACAAATAGATGGGCTTTGAAATCGAGGCTGAGTAAAGACAAAGCCCATGCTCTTAACATCAGCTCCGAGTCTTGTTCATCTTGGTTTGGCTCCACCTACGCTGGTCCGGAGTTTTTCCAGTGGACAGACGTTCCATTTGACAGTGATTATGCAGGGGTCCAGGTCAACTGCAGTCACCTTCAACTCAAAGCACTCCTTCTCCAGCCTTCTGTGAAAGTTTGAACGTATTATATTTGTGTTTACTTTATATGAATTTGGGAATTTGGATTCAACATTTTAAAGTTATCCACCCCTCAAAATGTGATCCTCAAAATCCAAACCTCAGGTCTGTACAGTTCCATACACACATACATTTGTGTTAATTTCCTCACAGAGCCATCTCACTGGGCCCAGAGTTGACCCAAGAGTTCTTGAATGGGTGGATTCTCAAGCTTTCCAACCCAGCAGCCTGCTCTAGAGAGATGGCAGGTCTCTCCATCCTGCTCACTCACACTGGAGCTCCTGGCATGGATTGTCTCCATCCCCCTTCAAGAAGCCCAACTTTTACCTGGTATTCACCCAAACCAAAGGGTTAAACTAATGCAAAATGTCATTATAAATGACAAAAGACAATCAGTGGGCTTAATGTAAAGATGAGAACTGGAACAGGCATTTTGGAAAGATTTATTGTGGAGCCATCAAATCACTTAGGATTAAATGTGACATCCAACATACTATACGTCTCCATCACTGCTTAATTAAGAATCACCACAGCAGTGCAGTCTTTTTGTCGTTCCCGTGGTAGTAAATACTACTGAGCCCCCTAATTTCTTAGACTCTTTTTAAAAAATTTTTTAATTAATTTATTTTAATTGACACGTTGTAATTGTACATATTTATGGGGTACAATCTGATGTTTTGATACACATATGTCATATAATATCGGATTATGGTAGTTAATGTATCAAGCACCTCATGCATTTATCGTGTTTTTGTGGTGAAAACATTCAAAAGCCTCTCTTCTAGCTATTATGTAATATGCAAAACTTAAATGCTAACCATAGTCACCCTACTGTGTAATAGAACACCAGAAATTGTTCCTTCTCTCTGATTGAATTTTGTACCTGTTGGCCGGCCTCTCCCGTTTTCCCTTCTCCCTTCCCCTCCACAGTCTCTGGTAACTACTGTTCTACTCCCTGTTCCTATAATACCAACTTTTTTTTTTTACATTTCACATAAGAGTGAGATTATGTGTTGTTATCTTTCTGTGTCTCACTTACTTCACTTAACAGAATGACCTCCAAGTCCATCCATGTTGCCATAAATTACAGGATTTCATTCCTTTTTATGGCTTAATAGTATTCTATTTTGTATATATACCACTTTTTTTTTTGTAAAGTAATCCATTGTTGGACACTTGATTTCATACCTTGACTAGTATAAATTGTGCTGCAGTGAACGTGGGAATGCAAATATCTTTTTGACATATTTACTTCATTTCCTTTGGGTATGTACCCAGTAGTAGGATTGCTGAATCATGTGGAAGTCCTGTTTTTAATTTTTTGAGGAATCTCCATACTGTTTTTCATAATGGCTGTTCTAATTTACACTCGCAGATTCAATCCCCCAATGCTTGTTACGATGCAGAGTCCAACTGAGACATGAAAACAAATAAGAATGGTGTGTAACATGTGTGGGATGGGCTGAAATTCTGCCTCCAGTTCCTTCCCCTATGTCCTCCAAGTCCAAAGTGACAGTATGTCAGTTCTGAAATGTCATCCTTTATAGGAGCGCATAGGCATCCTAACACTTGGAGGAAACCATTCCTCTGAGCACTGTCATCAATGGTCTTACCATTGCTTTCATACCTTTTTTTCTCCTGAGTACTTAACAAGAAATTTCTACCATGGTGACTTGTACAAGGCCATTATGGTTTTGAGAAAAAAGGAAGTTTAGAAGCTCTTTAGGCATTTGTGAGAACAAGAGCTAGAGAGGATACGTGCCGATGAGAAGCAGATGTGTGCAGATGAAGCAGGCAATCACTCTAAAATTGTGTCTGAAATATGAATATTATACTTATCAGCAAAAGATATGAAACCAACAAATTATATATCAGATCGACTTCGGAAAAAGCAAGTGGACACTTCCCTTTACCTGAATTACTGAGATGCTTGCCACATTACTTGGTGTTCCCTGTTCTGTGGAGACCTAGCAGTGAATACCACTATCAGGACAGAATCCTGTTTCTATTGTCACTTCTTATGCCCCAGGGCCTCGACTAGTCTCACATTGAAATTGAAAGGTTAATCCTACTAAAAAATCACTCAGGTGAGGTTTTGGGGTGCAAATTTATGAATAGACATGCCAAATGTCTGTACACTTTATGGATTACTATTTCTGTGATTTCATTAAGAACCCTTTGAAAATCAGGGTGCTCAAAGTGTTATGAATATATTTATTGATGAAACATTTTCTCAGAGTCAGAAAAGCTTCACCTGGTTGGAATTATGGCTACCTGTGATGCTCAGACCACAATCTGCAGACCACCCAGCCTTGCTTTTGACTGCTGCCACTAGAGGGCTCTGGCATTAGCAACATGCGTGGTGTCCTCTGTGAGGAGCAACACACTCACAAACTGCAGCTGCCTCTGCAACAGGACTGAAAAGAAAGAAGGCAAAACTTGACTGCAAGCTCCCCGAAGGCAAAAGCTGTTTTTCCTCCATCTCTGATGGATGAGGCAGGAATGTGCATCCGATGCTCACTCCCCCGAAGCCCCATGCCCATAGAACGTGCTCATGACTGTTTGCCAAGAGTTGAATGAACGGATGTTTCCCAGCCCTGCTCCTGGTGTTAGACACCCAGATTTCAAAGTGTGTTCTCTTTACCATCCTGCACATTTTCAGTTTCAGGAAGTCTATGATCAGTGCCCACCAGGTTCCAACATGATCATCCCATTGTCTGGCAGGCAAGTCTGATTGGACTCCTGCTTGCGCGAAGCCCCACCTGCTGGATTGAGGCACATGAGCCTCCAGAAAATGTCACACAGCCTCCCACCCAGATGCCCCAGGCTTCCTAGCATTCAAAAATATAGACTAGCTGAATTATTTTGACAGTCTTTTTATGCGTGATTTCAAGATATAACTGGTTCCTCTGAAATTATCTAATCCATTACGAAAGTAATCCTTGTTTGTCTTTTTAAGGAGCTAAAAGTCGGGATTGTTTTGCTTTTTCCCTAGGAAAACCTCTTTTTCGTGATGGAGTATCTCAACGGGGGAGACTTAATGTACCACATCCAAAGTTGCCACAAGTTTGATCTTCCCCGAGCAACGTAAGTGCCCTTGGAAGGGTTGGAGGGCAGTTTCCCTGTTCTCGTCAGTTCCTGTGTGCCCAGTTGCCCACAGAATTGTCCTATGTGGTGTTTTTGTCTGTTTGTTTCCTCACTTGGTATGCCTAAATCCTAGGGCGAGGTAAACCCTTGGGAACACATCGAACAAGGCAAGAGATTTCACTGGGTTTTGAAACCAACTACATAGTTTCTTAAGGAATCATCCCAATTCATCAGGCTCCTATAATCTGAGCACAGAAGCATGTATTTGCCCTTTGGAGAGAAAGCAGGAAAATGGAACACAAGTCTTAAAGGCGGCCCCCGAGGAAGAAGCTCTTAGCAGAGGCCTTTCCCATGTGCAGGTATAAGGCATTTGGCTCCTGGGGCAGGTGGATTAGGAAACTGGAAGAGGCACTTATTCTGTCTGAGATAAATCTTCACCTTCTTTGACATCACACAGCCTTAGACACAAGTGATATGAAGCAGGCTGCATTTACTTGGTGGGACTGCGGCTGAGTCCCCAGGTACTGACTGCTCCTCCTCCCTGCGCTGGTCCTCCGTGGGTCCTACTGCCTGCCTAGTAAAACCACTGCAAGACTCAAGCAAAAGAAAACCGTGCCCCCAGGCTCTATTTAAAACGATGGGTACATGTGAGCTTTCTTGGTTTGATGCCTAATAACCTTTCACTCACCTCTGCATGAACACTTTGAGTGGTCTAGGTTGAACTGGGTTGAAAGGTAGACTAGGTCCACCAGCTTCTGCAAAACTCTGGCTGAAATAAATGGCTGTTTTGTCAAATCTAGTGGGTAGCACTCTGCTGATCTTGTTACCTCCAGAAACCCTCAGCAAAGTGCCCACAGATAATGTTATCGGATTTCTGCAGCACAGAAATCACTGGACATTTTTTGTGCTAGGAAAGATTTCCTCGATTCACCATTTTCTCCTGCCCTGTATTACCTTAAAGCCCCAGCTTAGACACATACTATCTGTTGTGTTCTAAATGCCTTTTAGGAAGGAGATTTTTGCATTCTTCCAGGAGACCCAGCAAACCTCACCTCCAGGAAGCTCCCCCTTATATGTGACCTTAATCCCAACAGTGATAGTATAAACTCATTTCCTTTAAGCCTGCCCCTCTTGAAGATGAAGAGTAACTTATCACTTTCCATCTACTAATATCCTTTTTCCCACTTCTCGGGCTGTATTTCTTGCCGAGGTTAAATGTGGTCAGTACAAAAATAAACCAGCCAGCTCTATTTGGAATGGCCATGTAGACAAGTTTATGAGCTCCAAGCAGAGTTTTAAATAAAAGAGAAAATTATTTTTTACTAAACTGTACTATTACACTTAATGTTTGTGTATGTTTTATTAGCAAAAAATGACAGCGTAGTATTGCAATTGAAAATATGACAGCAAGCACTAGACACAGGCAGGACTACTAAGATACCAGCTCTGTTCCACTGTCAGCGCTGGGGCAGGACATGTGTGAGCCTCTGTTTTCTTATGTGTAGAATGGACACCATTGTCCTTCTCAGGATTAAACACAATTATGTGTGATGCCTTTGGCCGAGCGCTGCATGCACATGAAGTATCAGACCGGGTCTGGGCTTCTGCTCTGTTCCATTAAGGCACTCACGGTGACCCTTGGCTCTCCTTCCCTCAGGTTTTATGCTGCTGAAATCATTCTTGGGCTCCAGTTCCTTCACTCCAAAGGAATTGTCTACAGGTAAATTTTGCTCTTTGGAAACAAACACTAAGGTATTGGATTTCCTGAACTAATCATTGATGTGACCTGGCCAGTGTGCTTCTGTAGTAGGAAGTCCCCCACCCAGGCCTCCCGCCTGCTGCAGCTACGTGGAGGATGGATTCATAACAACCAAGTGAGACATTCCAGCCTCAGAAGTAGGAAGGCTCTAATCTTGTTTCGTCCTTTATCCTGATCCTGACTTCTCCTCTCCCCTTCGCCTGCCTTCTCATTTCCTTGAACCACCCTCCTTCTCTTTGGTGTCTCATCCTTGCTTTCTCTCTCCTGCGTCCCTTCGCTAGCTCTTGTTTTTGCTTGTATTTGTTTGGACTTCCTGGAAATGCCTATGAAACTGCCTCTTTGGGGTGGGGAGGGGCCTCTTCCACACCCATCTGTGCACACCTGTGATGCTACACCTTGTGGAAGTGTACACAACACCCTGTGCATCCTCATTCGTGAATCCAGACTGTCTCTCCTGTACGGCAGCATTTCACATCTTTCTGTCAAAGCCCTTACATTAAAGCTATTGTGCTCCGATCTCTTTACTGCTTTTTTTGGAGCGTAACTGGCACTTATTTAACATACACATCTTCAGAAGTTTAGCTGTTGGGTTTCCAACTCACTACAGATTAAGGGACAAAGAAAAAGAAAAGAAAGAAGCTAGTGAGGGTAAAGGTTCAGTCATGTTCCACGCCAATTGCTGAAGGCAGGAGGCTGTGTATGGAGATGGTTAACACTGAAGCCTTGGTGCTTACAGAGAACGCTGTGATTATCTGGAAAGTTCACGCATGGAGGAAGGACCTCTGCATTTCCAGAGGGTGCAGCCAGGTGAGGATGGGCGTGTTTAAAGTCACGGAACTAAGACTTAAAGGAGGTTTGGGACTTCAGTCTTCTTAAGCACGCTCTTTGAATATAGATTTTTTTGGTCTATCTACAAAATAATAGATTAAGAAGCTATTTTATAATATTTTTTGTTCTTTAGTAAATTGAGAAATACTCACCAGAACATTATTTGAAAACCCTGATCAGAATCCATGCAGCCAGGTGAGGATGGGCGTGTTTAAAGTCACGGAACTAAGACTTAAAGGAGGTTTGGGACGTCAGTCTTCTTAAGCACGCTCTTTGAATATAGATTTTTTTGGTCTATCTACAAAATAATAGATTAAGAAGCTATTTTATAATATTTTTTATTCTTTAGTAAATTGAGAAATACTCACCAGAACATTATTTGAAAACCCTGATCAGAATCCATGTGTGTGTGTGTATGTGTGTGTGTGTTTTCAATTTTTATCTATATCTGTAATGCCTGAACTATATCTAAAATGTACCTGTATCTAGGCAGTGAGTAGACTGTGCGGGATGGATCAATGATAGGATGAATGGATGGATGGATGATGGATGGATGGACTATGGATGGATGGATGGATGGATGGTGAATGATGGATGGATGATGGATAGATAAATAAATGGAATGATGGATGAGGGATGGATGGATGGATAAATGAATGGATGGATGGACAATGGATGGATGATGGATGGATGGATAAATGAATGGATGAATGGGATAGATGAATGGGAGAGATGGAGGGGGAAAATTAGGAAGGTTATAGAGAGAGACACAGAGATCTTAGAGCTGGAAGAGACCTCATGAAACCAACCCACACGCCTATATGCAGTCAATTTCTCCATATCACAATGGTTCTTTCTATCATGTCATCTTATAAAATTTTGACAGAACAAAAAGACCAATAAAGGTCCATAAGTAACTTTAATATCACAAACAAATTGTACCCACATTAGAGCTCTTTCTTGCTTTGTGCACAGAAGTCATGTTCTCTAAGGCTTCTTATGCACCCAGAAGAAAGAACACTGCTGCTCCTCTTTAATGTGCTCAAGAGGTTGTAACGATCCTTGAAAGTCATCCAATAATTAAAATGAGGACAGGTCATCAGACAAGTAGCTTGATGCTGAGATTGGCCTGCTTTAAGAAATTCTTTCACTGCCCATGTATAATTTGGCTGATCTAAACTTTTAACCTAGCAACTGAATTAACAAAGGGACTCTATTAATTTCCTTCTTTTGACCATTTATGATTATGATTTTCTTGCTCTGATCACAAAAGCCATGTGTTAGTTTCAAAGGACTGCCATAAGAAATTACCACAAGTTTGGTGGCATAAAAAAATCAGATATTTACTCTCTCACAATTCTGGAGGCCAGAAGCCTGAAATCAGGGTGTTGGCAGGGCCCTGCTCCCACCAAAGGCTCAGGAAGAAAAGAATCCTCCTTCTTCTTCCAGCCTCTGGTGGCTGCAGGCATTACTTGGCCACACTCCAGTCTCTGCCTCCATCTTCACATAACCTTGTCCTCTCCTTGTGTGTCCCTTCTGTGTTTATCTTATAAGAACATTTGATAGATTCAGGTCCCACCTGGATAATCCAGAATGATCTCTGTTGAGATCCTTAGTTTAATTACATCTTACATCTGCAAAGACCCTTTCTCCAAATAAGGTCACATTCACAGGGCTCAGGGGTTAGGACATGGACCTATCTTTTGGGGGCCACCATTCAGCCCACTATAATTGGCATCATAGACTGAAAGTTCACTGAATGTGCAGCCCTCCATGAAGCATGGGGTGGGCACAAAATATGAAGAAGTGGTGTTTTGTGGGGTTTTTTTGAGGTAGAATATAAATACATAAAAAGACACAAGCAGTGCATTCAAAAAAGTCCAGTGAATATGATTTCAATTAAAAGCATAAGTACTGAAGGGAAGAAAAATTACTATTAGAAGGTGAATTTTTCAAAAGGGGAGAAGCTCTGCAGATGGAAAAGTGACTCCAGAAAATGCACAGAAATAGGAGTAAGCATCAAAAAAGTCCAGTGAATATGATTTCAATTAAAAGCATAAGTACTGAAGGGAAGAAAAATTCCTATTAGAAGGTGAATTTTTCAAAAGGGGAGAAGCTCTGCAGATGGAAAAGTGACTCCAGAAAATGCACAGAAATAGGAGTAAGCAGGCAAGCATAGGAACGTTAAACATGTGTCCAGCTTCACTGGAAAGGCTGCTGGTGGACAGTCACAAGACCTGAGGCCAAGAGATGTGGAGAAACAGATGGCAATGTCACCATTCAGCACGTGCTAGAGGAACTGTAGAAAAGTGGCACCTTAAAAGATGTCATAAGGCCTGTTTTGGGTTAAATGTGAAATCAAGAAGATGGAAAAATATGCAGACATGTAAAGAGAAGAATCTAGAACTTCAAATTTTAGAATATTAGAACCAAAAGGGACCTTAAGTTATATTTTGTTGATAAAACTGAGCCCAACCCATATATCTGAAAGAAGTATCTCATTAGCTGTCACAAGGAGCCCATGAGACGAGCAAGGCAGGCAGCACAGTCCCTGTGTTATGGATGAGTAATCAGAGCCTCAGAGAGGGAATATGGCCACAAAGCTGGGATTTAGAAGCCAGTTTTGACTCCCTCTCTGCCTCTTCCAAATGCAAAGGCTTTGCTTACAGGGACCACACAGCTGAATGAAAGGTGTCCACTTAATCTGTTATACTTGATGCATGGATGGGAACGGGCTGCACCCTGAGCAGACAGATGCTTACAGAGTCAAACCAGGGGCCTCAGACACTGATGTTCTTCTGGGTCCTGATGTCCCATGGGGTGTACATGAGGGGTAAGTAGCATGGTAGCATGATGTGCCTCAGAATTCTGGGCCTTTGGGTTCTGGGGCATCTCCAGTTGACTCCAGGGAATCTTGCAGTCTTCCTCTGCCTTCATTTCTTACCCCATGGAGGTCTGGCTTTCCATGGAAGGCTTTCAGGAACTTTCCCATTCTGACTTGGATCTCTTCGAGCTTCAATGACCTTCTGTCTCACTGCCCCGAACCCATCTGGCCCTCTCTAGAGGATGGATTAAAAATCTGACAGGAAGTTTATTATTCTTAGCCTGTGGCCCAGAGAATATTTATTATTGGAATCAGTTGAAGTGCACCCTTGTATATCTTAGCAAGATGAGTTTGATGAGAAAGAGCAGGTGCGCTTGGTATAAAGGGATGTAAGAGAGGATAAAGACTGGGTTTGCATCCTAGCCCAGTGAGTGGCCATGGGCTGGGATAAATCACATCACTGCTAAGAGCCCTTGCTTTTCCATCAGCAAAAAACAGGAATAAGAATAATAATTATTTCAGATCAAAGAAAACCCAATGCAGGGGCCGGCCCGGTGGCGCACTGCTGTAGTGCACCGCTTGGGAAGCGCGGCGGCGCTCCCGCC